GTTCATGTGTGTGTGCGCCTGCATGTGTGTGTGTGTGCCTATGTTTGTGTTCATGTGTGTGTGTTCATGCGTCTGCCAGTGTGTTCATGTGTGTGTGTGTGCTTGTGTGTTTATGTTAGTATTATGTATGTGCCATTGTGTGTTTTAATTTTTTTATTTTGTGTATGTGTTCATTTGTTTTATTTGTCCGTTGTTTGTATTGACTAGATTGAACTGATTTAGATTTTATATTTTCTTGAGCACATGGAAACCAATTTGTCCAATACAATATATTTTTCATTCATGTATATTTAGTATCCTAAATTTATATTCATTTACAATTTTTCCCCTTTATCATGTAAGATAGTTTGGTAGTTCTTCAACCTTAATTTATAGACATTTATATGGCACTGTTGTAGCAAAAGTAGAAGTTGTTATTTTGGGTTGAAATGCATTTAGTCTTTTTGTGTTTTAACACTTGGGTTTCGATTTGATGCTTTTGTTCTTTATAATGCTAGGTTTGATTTATTTATGTTGGTTGGAGGTGCTGTTAAGTGGTGGTGGTGATTTTGAAAGAGGTGTCCAATGGTGTTTGGTTACACATTTTTTTAATCACTTCCATTTCATAGCAGTACCGTCCGATGAATAATGTGCACACTTTTGGTACTTGAATTGGTTTAGTTTTCATGTACTCTAATTAACCCTTTTGTTGCATGAACTCATAGAGATCATCAGTTCGGACAGTACTTTGTGATTATATTTTGCTTGGGTTGTTTAACTATGGTTACAACCTCTATTGGTAATTATTTATCTTTCATGGATTAATCTATTAGATGAAATGGGACATGAATCTTAACCCAGTTACATATCTATGGCAACGAGCTTACACGTCGGTGACCTCCTCCCCATCAATCGCTTAATACCCAATAATCCCCTCGCTCAAAAAAACTAAAGGGTATGGCCTTCTCTATTGCTTATTCTATTTTAATAGTTTTTATTTTGTAAAAATATTTTTTTTATTTCTATTATTTGGTTTTGGAAGATAATAAGATATGTGATTGATAACGAAGGGTCGGAAATGTAGCAGTTTGAGTTGGTTGTGAAAGACAATAATAAGCAATGAACGGTGAAGTCTGCTCCACAATGTCATTTGATGGGGACATAATTTTTGCTTCCAAAGAGGTGCACATGGTGTCTTTCATTCGAATGTATTATACTGTTGTTGCTAGGTGAATGGGTGCTTATGGGTGGGCTAATTTTTCTAATTGTACAAGTTAAAATATTTATGCATTCAATTAGATTTTTCTATATAATTTTTGTTTGTGGAATAGGTGGTCGGTTCAAATATATTTGTTATCCACACTAATATGTTTCATATACTATTTTTGTAGCGGTTTCCTAATTTGTGTGCCTTTTAATTTTGAGTTTTTTTTTATTACGTAGTGCCTTTAGGCACGGACAATTACTAATATATATATATATATTTATATTTATTTATTTATTTATATATTTATATATATGCGGGTAGGGTAGGGTAGGTTAGAGTAAGAATACGAAAATTTTGTACGTATTCTGCATTCCTATCCAATTTTTTGCGAAATACCAAAAAATCTTCTATTGACTTATTCGATTCTTTTGGATAGCTGATCAATAAAGTCGAGTACAATAGGGTAGGGTTAGAATTTACGGATAATTAAAAATTTGAACACACTTAATGACCACCATTGGGACATACGATAGAAGTTTAGAACTAGAGAGAGATTGAAGATATCAAATTTAAAGGAAAAGAAGTACAAACAATCAACGTGGTTGGATACATTGTGCCTCATCCATGGATGTAACGTCCTATGGGCTATATCTATTTATAGGGTGACAATTGCATAACATAAAGACAAATCACGCATTTCTATTATTATATGTACTTATTTAAACAAATCTAGATATTGATGAATCTATTTGGATCATATTGTATCCTACTTGAATATTAATGTATTCCTTCTGATTCTGTCATGTCTCTAACACTTCCCTCAAGTTGGTAAACTAATTTTTTTTTTTTTGAACGAGCATTTAAATCAATTGACGTGTCCAACTTAAACTGAAACATGGGATAGTTGCTTGTCCATTGAATGATGTAGCATTGGTGATGGAAATCCTATGTGAAAACCCCTCGAAGATAAGTTGGTACAATTTTTTTTTAAAATTTTTTTTCTTTTTTTCTTTTTCTGATTCCCTTCTCCCAAGATTTTCTCTATCTCTTTTTTTTTTTTAATTTGTTTTGCCACCTCCCCGCAAAGAGTTCGAAACCCCACCTGGTAAGGCCTGTTTTATAGTTGACCAGCCACCTACATGGCCTGGTATGGTCGTTTAGGAAAGGATTCTACACAACAAGTGGACGAGGCCATGCATCCCAAAACCTTATGTTGCTTATATGCACATATGTTTCTCTTCTTTTTACTCTCTGTTTTAAGCATGGTTCACCTGTCGTACAAAAATATGAAGCTTGTGAAGTTTTGGCCTTTCGGTTGATAGATTAGAGAGTGACATTTGTCATGGCAGTAAGAGATGGCTAACAATGATCATGAAATGGGGAGGGAGGGGAATGACACTATTGAAGTGAAGATTCAACAATTGGTATGAACTGTCAAACATTGACATGGTGGCACGAAATTCAAATTAAGCTTCGGTTGACCCGCTTTGAAACTGAAGAGAGATTGGAGATAACAAAATTAAAGGAAAAGGAATACAAATGATATATATGGTTCACCACATTCTGCCTACATCCACTAACCTAATTTTTATGGGTGTGTTTGGATGGCATGGTTAGACTGAACTGAAGATCTAAACACTTATGTGAGACTCATGGAGAAGGGTGATGCAATATGATACCATTGACTGTTTTGTCTCTAACTTATTCAATTGCGGTCAGGGGCCTTATGATCCCATCAATGAGGCCCTATCAGGGTAGCCGCTAAGCGCTCTTCTTTGCCCGCACCCCTTTATTTTAAGTATCAAACACTATGGTTCATAAATTGATCAAATTTAAACAATTTTTTCTTACATGTAATTTTTAAAAAATATTGTAACTTCATATCCTGTAGACAGGTGTTCATATGTTACGTGGACTATTTAGAGTTAACTCAAACTCTCATTAATTAGTTAATTTATTATTAATTTTTAATTAATCTTTGTTCAAATAGGATATTTTTTTTATTAAAATTAGTTTATTATTTAAATTAGTTGTCATGTTGGAGAAGATATCTTGATCTTTTTGTGGTATGTCCGCAGTGCCTTCCTTTGACAAAATAGATTTGTTGAAAAAAAATCGGATCTATGAAAAAATTGGAATAGAAGATAAAGGGGAGGGGGAGAGGGAGAGAGAGAAGGGAGAAGAGAACAGGACAATTCGGTCATTTGCATTAATTATCTTGTCTGGCAAAAAAAAAAAAAAATCTTAGGCCCTCCTTGGGTTTTATTTAACCCATATAGATAGGTTAAACATGACTTTTCAAATCGGGTTTAGATAAAATCTGAATAGGATTTTTGAATCATTTTTTATTTATAAAACGTAGTATATATGATGCCCACACACTTTTTTATCCTATCCTATCAAAGTTATTGTCCTTTAACCCTCGATCCAAACATACCCTATGGGTTATATCTTTTTGTTGGTTAACAATTACACAAGACAAAGATAAATCACACGTCTCTACCATTAACTGTATTTATCCAAATAATTCTAGATATCGATCGATCTCTTTGGATCTTATCGTGTATTTACCTGGATATTGATGGATTCTTTCCCATCCTATAATATCCCTAATAGATATGTTAGAGAGACAGAGAGGATACCAAAATGTCGTGCATGAGGGATATAGCTGAGGATCTAACAAGGGTTGAACAAATGAATTAACTAATATATATTACACATATATAGCAATCAAATTAGGTGGGGGTGGCTTCTCTAATCTATATTATACAAATAAAGCAATCAAATGAGGTGAGAGGTGGCTTAAGAAGTTGTTCCTCTCACTTTCTTTTTTCTTGGAGTTTTTAATTGAAGTTAATAACATTTTTGGTCTTTAAAGTATGCACATTTTGTTCAGTTGATCCTCATTGTATTATTTTGATCAATTTGGCTCTTCAAATGTTATAAAAGTGATCACCTATCATTGTTTTAGACGATATCACGTACGTGATATTGTCAAAAACTTAAATGGTTATTTGTGTAAGGATAATTTCACCACACATTAAATGTTTTAAAGATCAAATTGATAAAATTAATACAATGAGGATCAAATTGACAAAACTCAGGACCACAAATTGTATTAACCTTAAAATAAAATAAACGCTCAAGTGTAGAGAGAGAAACTACAAAGAAACAGGTGAGTTTAGGGGCACAAAGCGTTGCAGAGTGGAATAAGGATGGCGAGAGAGAGAGAGAGCTGGAATGGTATGTGTGTCTGATGTGAAGCTGTTGAGTTCTAAAACTGTCTTGGGAGTATGCAGAGAGGAAGAGTGATGAATTAAGAACGGACACCCCATGGTCATTATTTCACCCCTTCTTCTATTCTAACAAAAAATATAATAAAAACCAAATGAAGTGAAATTGCAATAGTCTGGATTCATCGATTGGACACACTGCAATAAGCCAATGTAAGCAATAAACCTAGAAATCTTCCAATGATGTTAAGTGAATTGCATATACCCAGTAATTAGCATAAAACGAAACTTACCAACTGCCTACCTACTTTTCAAACACAGCATGCGCAACTAATTAAGAGCTTCCTTAAAATTTTGATTTTCTAGTTCCTTATCTGTAAGTCATTTTTTACTTGGTCTATGCACTCTAATGTCGGAATGGTCAACAATTACCTCTAATGGAGTGCTTCTGGGTGGAGCTCATTTACTTGATGTCTTTTTCTGATCACTTTCTGCCTCTAAGTTCACCTGTTTCTTAGCAGTTTCTCTTTCTAAACTTGAATGTTTATTTTATTTTGGGAAATGGATGAGCATTTTGATAGTCCACCGGTGGAGGGGATGGACGAGGACTTGGATCTGCCAGACGAAAGGAAGGTTGGGACACTCCTGAGAATGTTGATGGATCTACCAACTGAGCAGATCCAGCATATCCAATGGTCGATGGGGGCATCATGTCCACCTAAATTTCTGAAGAAATTCTTAGTTGTACTCAAGGCAGGACCTTGTTGCTTCTTGGTGACTGACTGGTGGAGAACTCGTCCAACTACATTCGGAAGAAACTTTTAGGTGCCCATCACATGTTGAAATTTTGATTTCATTTAAGTTTATTACTCTCTCTATATAAAGGTATCCACTAGAAAGCAATGCATCAAACACCGAGATTATTAACTAGTTAATCAACAGATATGGCCAGCTTTCCCTTCCTTTTTCAAATATTCTTAGAGTTCTTAGGGTTAGGGTGCCTTGCAGCGGGCCTTGAAGCTGCAGGCGAGAAGATGAAAGCAAATCCAAGTACATTCACCATGGTCCATCCATTCATTCGCATTCTGGGTTAATAAACCTAACCACCATCCACATCGCTGCGGCTGTCCAGGGTTTGAGCTATCCTGTGACTTTGAGAACCACTACACTGTTCTTGAGCTTCCTTGTTCAGTGATAGCGGCAGCAATGTGGGTGATGGATAGGTTTATTAACCCAGAATGGGAAATGAATGGATGGACCATGGTCACTGCACTTGGATTTGCACACATTTTCTCGGTCTGCAGCTTAAAAACCCGGAAAATATGGAAATGACTGTCTTAGTATAAACTAAAGACTATTCAATTCTCAGTTGATGTTACTCTACATTTTCCAGTTGGATCCACTGTTCATGTCTCATGTGATATTTCCTAATTACCCTCTATTTCTATTTTATTTTTCTGGGGCTAATGAATAAAGCAGATTACTTGTTCGTTTTGTGACTATTGAATTTTGCAGATTACTTCTTCGTTGTCACTATTTAACAGGAGCATTTGATGGATTATATTTTTACGGAAGGTAAATTATATTCATAAGGGAAGAAGGAAAAAAATACAGGATCAAAACAAAGGGTGATGCTCACATGACAGAATACATCCACCCATTACAAAAGTATAACCAAAAGATTAGTCAACAAAACCAAGAGTCTAAAATTCTAAAGGAAATGCCAGCCTTGAGCTGGTACTTACAGTAGAATCCAGACTCAATAGGAGACAAAGAAACCAAAAAGGCTTACATGAACATGGGTCTGCACATACAAAAACAGAGAAATGCAGAGTAGTCAACACCACAAGTAGTCAATTACTACAGTGTCATTACAAATTCACTGGCAATGTCCACAGTCGAATGGAAAGCACAAAGCCAGCTTACTTTTCTGCCATTCACCGTCCTCCAGCTTCTTTTAGGAGTGGGAGAAACTATTGGATGATTAAGCCAGTAGCTCCTTTCATGCTCGTAGGTTGTATACCCCAAAACAGAGAAGGCAGGCAGCATTCAAGGAGAAGTGAAAAAAGAATAAAGGACTTCCAGAAGGAACCAGGAAAAAGGCCTTGATGTTCTCAAAGGTGAATCTCATCTCTGAGGTCTCACCTTCAGAAAAGTCAAGTAAAATACAAGCTGATTTTCAGACATATAAACACAGACAAATTAAACTTCCCCTAGAGTGCACCCAGCACTTGAATCAGCACCTAATCTGACCAGCCTCATCCTCATTCTCAGAGCATCTCTTGCTCATTATCATTAGAACTTAAGCCACTACTAGGTAGCTGCCAAGCTTGGAGGAGTGACAAGTTTTGGGGGAACTCTTGAATTTGAGTGGGACTAACCTATCTTTAATGATTTGCATGATACACTTCACGAGACTTCTACAATCTCTAAACTGGTTTGTATGGAGCCTTCTATTCCTTTCCTTCCCTATTATATAAACAGTAGTTGCCATGCACAACTTCTTTAACACCTTGTCAAGTGATATTTTTGTCTTCTTTAATGCAATGAAAAGTGAACATTTTTGTTCCTATTGAACAGGACGTGTGTTGGACTATGTTTTTGACTTCATGAATGTAATAAAAAGTGAATTATTTTCTTAGGGGAAAGTCTTATTTATTGTAGCAAAGGGGCAAAACACCTCCCTCCTACCTACAAAGTCTTACAGCAGTCCCTCTATGATGCGCAGGATCGCTCTGAGCTTAAGGTTTGAACCTGAGTAATTCTCTTTAGAGTATACCTTAGGGAGCCTTTAGGCATGTTTTGACCCATAATCAATGGACCTAATTAATTTTACAGATAGAGAAAAGATTTTATAGAATTAGGCAATAATTAACAACAAAAAAATTTAATGCACTTAAATGTTGTGAAATATATTGTTCTCCAATGACTAGACCCTTTCAATTCATTATCAAGTATATTTATTAATGGAAACATATTCTATAATTGTGACTTGTTCAAATTTATCAGCCAAACTCTGCAAAGAGCATGACTCTCATTGTCTTACCAAGGAAAACTTTTTGTGTAGTGTGTGTTATTACTGCCACCGAAGAAGAAACCATCTTCTGCCACTTTCCAATAGCACTTTGCACCTGGTAGGCAGTCCCAGCCTTCTTCCTCGGTCGTAAAAACAGAGAAGCTTTTCATTTTTTGGCCCCATTTAAAACTGCAAAGGAATAGAGTGGTGTGCCAAAAATTGATATGGAAATGCCAATAGAATTCTTGGTCCATATAAAGTTTATGCACTCCGAGATTGTCGTCTTTGGATTGGCAACGAATGATCAATGGGTTCCTGTTGGTTTTGAAGCCATTGCCGACATGAACCTCGTATGTTTGGTCGATCGGTTGAGCCAACGTTGGTCGGAAAATTAGGCAAAACGCTAGAACAAGAAATGCTAAAGAGGTGGTGGAAGTACTCATCATGCCTCAATGCTAATGGTAGTGGTGCTTGTGCAGTTCAACCTTAACCTTTTTATAAGGGCCAAAAAAGAAGGTTATACGGTAGACCATTTATGAGACTTGGTACTCAGTTGGCTGTTTTATAGTACAAGGTTCATCTTGTTGAAGTATTACACCCTTTCCAATTCTTTAAGTTTTTGTGGTAGATAATTGTTTAACATGATATTAGAGTAGGAAATCTTGTGTTCTAATTTCATTATCACCCTAATTGTTAAAATGATTTTCTTGTGTTTGGCCAAAAATCTAGTTACACGTGAAAGGGTATGTTGAAAGGGTATGTTGAAGTATAAATATTTAAATTTCACTTTCTCCAATAACTTTAACTTTTAAAATAGATGGTTGCTTAACAAATTTACGATAGCAGTAATCATTTCTTGGATTTAGGTAATCTTTCTCTTTATTTGGGTTATTTGGGACAATGGTGGGCGTTGGGCGTCTAAATATTTATTCAACACATGCACAATTCATATATTAAGCTAGTATAAGGTAAGTCAACCTAATCACAACTCAAAATCGTAAAGAGTTAAATCATATCATGATTTTACGTTAATCTCTTATCGAGCTGACAAATTTTGTTAAAAATTATTGTATTTAATTAAATTCATGTCCTTGTTGGAACAAAAATCTTAAGAGTCGTTGACAGCGTGTATGTATCGAATATCAAAAATTTTCTTTAAAACCCTACAAGGCGGAATTAGGGTTTACTTTCGAGATCTCTCGGGACGAATCTCACTCAGCATGAATGCAGAACAGAACAATGACTACAGCTCGACGAACCTCGCGGTCTTTTGTCGTATATCTCCCAACGTCAAAATTTTGATGCAATGTGGGCTGCCAATACCTCTAAATCTTTGTTCTCTCTTTCAGCTTTCTTAAAAAACGTGAGTAATGATAAGATGCTGAAATAGAGAATTTAAACGTCTATATATAGGCTACGACAGAGCCCATAAGGAGAAATAAAGACCGGACTCCCAATGGACTTAGGATTTCTAAGTTCAACCCAGTATAAACATCTTATATCTCATTAATAATTAATCAGTCCACTACAGACTTATTATTGATCTTCTAGTCTTATCTCAAAACTATATTCGAATTCCTTATTATTATATACTTAATAATTTCTTTACGTTTAAGATTACAGATGTCCATCAATTAAATAAATCACTGACAATTATATTTAATTGGCTTTTTTTATTCCTTAAGACCTTATTATTCAACTTATTTGTCATGTCGGATAATTAAATCTACTTGTAAGATTTGACATGGATAAAACTTATGAGTTTCCTCAAGGGGACATTATCAACTTATTTAAATACTAGGATGTGGTTTCCTTTAATATTTAATTTTCACCATACAAATAACATCGTCTCCCAATTCAACTTATTGACTCAATATGAATCTCACTCTTTGATGAATTAAAGTGACAAACATTATATGCACGTGGTAATTAAATATTTAGGGATTAAAAAAATAAGCAATCATAATAATCTTGAAGTATTTATTATCTTATTAAATTAGTAAAAGATAATAATCTCAACATGTGTTTGTTCAATACACAAAGTGTACTAGGACAATAATTCGAGACATCAAAAAATCTCTTATAATCAAGACAGACTATGCCAGAATATTATACTATAATCATACTGATGACGTGTCCAATTACATCTACGGTTGTAAATATATACTCATATTATACAAGGATCTGATTATTTGGTCTTCTGCGCATGAGTCGAACTCTATACACCAGATAATCTACAATGTAAAATATAAGACACACATGTATATCATATATATAATTCAAACATTTTGCCCATATAGATTCTCAATAAAATAGAAAGAACAAACATTTAGTAATTAATAAAACGAGTTTTACTATAAAAAATAAAATTTTAGTAAACTAATCTATCAGTCTTATCTGAGCTAAGTTGTGTCATGTAAAATTTAACTCAAATCACTTAACACAATCTATTTATCAAGCGGATCTTGTAGGTGAATGCAACTATACTTTATACAAGTTATACATGAAGTCATATCTGGTGATTCTATACCCATTTTTTGTCGGGTTGACGGATTTTGCTAAGAATTGTCGCCTCTAACCGGATTTATAACTGTTTGAAGATTAATGTAGGTGTAATCTGCTCTCAACTTCTGGTGTGTATATATATGTGTGTGTGTCAACGTGGAACTAATCACGGTCAAATGATATCTGGGTCAAAGGTAACTTTCAAGTATTGAGAGATCACCAGAATAAAAAAGCTGCTTTTAGTAATCTTGCAGATTATTGTAGTTCAATGGGAGGACCTAGATTACACTGTCATATCAGCACG